TCCCAATGCAGTTTTAAAACGACGTGGTGTGGTGGGCTGGAAAAAAAAAATCCCTAAATTTCTCTAATAGAACCAATGGTTCTAAGCTCTCCCTGGTACAGAAATATGATTGTTATTGAAAAATGTGTGACATTTCATATGGAGTCTCACCATTGGTATCATCAGGTATGTTGTTAATGCTCATCTGTACCATAGGAATAAGTAGATACCACTGTGTGGGGGTAAGCAACTAGTAACTTAGTTAAGTCATTTCACCTCAGCATTTTTGTTCCATGACCCCACTACTTTGGGGTGGTTGGGTGCACTGATTTCCCAAAGTAACCCAAATGTGGTTGCCCAGTTTTTGATTTCCTTTGCAGTATCTGCAGGACCATCCTCCAAGTGGATGGTCCTGGAACTACCAAATGCATACTAAGGATCATGGTATCAGAGGTTGCACTTGGCACAGGATATATCCAAGTAAACCTGGTACATGCATCAATACATACAAAAACATATTTATAACCATGAGATGTTGGCAAATGTCCAATATAAAGAAATTCAAAAAGTATGTTAGATATTACTATTTCAATAAACTGTACATCAGTAATGTGGCCTAGTTATCAATAAGCAAGTGATTACAATTACTAAACACATAAACAACAGTATTTTCCATATTGGACCACCAATATTCTTTTTCACGAGTTAGAAGTACATTACCTCTATCTATATCAGCTTGCCCTAGCCATGAATAGGCTTTTAGTACAATTCTCTCTTTCCTTTACAGGAAGAACAACCAACTTATTACCTTCAATGGTTGTTATATAATTAACCACTCTAAAGGATAGGAGTATTTATGCGGATAACCAGGTTTAGGTCTGGTTATGCTTGCATGCAAAAACTCTGCATCATGACTAAGAGATAGGGTATGTTTTTGTGATCCAATGACCACTTTAACAGAATAGCGTTGGTAGACACATTGCATCAAAGTGCCTGTTAATGACCAACTATATGAGGAGAGGGACCAAGCTTTATTATAAGCATGTCCATACATGTATTACAACGCCAGGCTTTCAAATTGTTTCCACAGAGCAATATGCAGTTGTGGCTATAAACTCACAACGTAGCGTAAGAAAAACTGTTTTAACACCAGACTGAGACTTGAGAGATCAGTGAACAGTGGACCGAGATAGCTAAATGAATCCTTTACAATTAATATACTTTCTTTAAATTACTTTTTCATGTATTAACAATGGCATTTTAAAGTAAAACAATGTGCATCTCAAAGCCAATTTCTTTCATGTGCATATTAATCACAAGCCCGTTAATAACGTGAGACAAATAGAACAGCTTTTTAAAACTGAACAGAGTGTTTACACAAAATGACCTTGCACTGAAATTCACTTTAAAAAAAAAAATCCTTTTTTTTTTCTTCTTAGTAAATTAAATAATTAAACGTAGTTAGAACCTCCTTCAAAGTCCCAATGACTTTGCAAAAAACATGTCATCCTTAAATACTGGGTAAGTCTATTAACCCGTTAACGCCGTTACGGCGTTCTATGCCATCCCACATTAAGTGGGCTTTAAAGCCATTGCCCAGGCAGCCCTCCCCCGGCAAATGTGGCCCCCTATAGCTGGCTGTGGATCTGCCAGCAGGGGGACTGTCTGAAATGTCAGACAGTCCCCCTGCTGGTGGGAAAGTAAAAAAAATGATTAGACATGTTATAAAATACAAATAACCGCAAATATACATATATAGATAAATACATATAATTATATAAAAGATTACATTAGTATACACATAGAATTTAAATACCTATAAATAGATATATATTAAAATTCTACATGTATATTTAATCTTTTAACATAATTATGTGATTTGATTAATTAAAATTTGATTGAAATGCCTGACAACACAGTGAGAAATTGCAGATAATTTAATTCACAAGCACTATATTTGACCCTGTAACTCTCCAAGACACCATAAAACCTGTACATAGGGGATACTGTTTTACTCAGGAGACTTCGCTGAACTCAAATATTAGTGTTTCAAACTGGTAAATTGTATTACAACGATAATATTTTAAGTAACAATGACATTTTTGGCATTTTTTTACAAACAAACGGCACTTTTATGGACTATATTATTGTTGTAATATGTTTTACTGTTTTAAACCACTAATATTTGTGTTTAGTGAAGTCTTCTGAGAATAACAGTACCCCTCATGTATAGGTTTTATGGTATTTTGGAGAGTCACATAAGGCTTGCATTTCATTTTTTTGACATTGAAATTTGCCAGATTGGTTATGTTGCCTTTGAGAGCGTATGGTAGCCCAGTAATGAGAATTACCCCCATAATGGCATACCATTTGCAAAAGGAGACAACCCAAGGTATTGCAAGTGGGGTATGTCCAGTCTTTCTTAGTAGCCACTTAGTCACAAACACTGGCCAAATATTAGTTTTTTGCTTTTTTCACACAAAAACAAACTTTGGCCAGTGTTTGTGACTAAGTGGCTACTAAAAAAGACTAAACATACCCCACTTTCAATACCTTGGGTTGTCTACTTCAGCATTGTATGCTAATTACAATGTATCTTGTGCCTGAACTCCAAGTGCCTTGTACAAGTTCACATAAAATCATCTCTTAATGAGGATCTCTCTCTGAGTCTGGGCTAAAACTAGCTCAATAAATTCTTGATATTTTAAGACCTGTGCCATGACAAAGTATTGTGTCTTCTCTTATAAATATAAGAGGCTATACCTAGGTATATATTATTTTATAGTTAAAGCTTCCAAGTACAAGCCCCACTTTGAGCGCCAATTGTAACCGCAGCTATTTCCTTATTTACCACTATAACTTCTTAAAGCATAGAACTTAGCAGGGCTAACCATACAGATATCTTTAGCCGTAGATTGTATAGTTAGCAAGAGATCCTCTATTTACAATATATAAATAATTGAGAATACAATATAAAATAAGGATTGTCTTGGAAGCAATAAAAATGGTGTAAACGGCATTCTTCATTTCTGGTCTTATACATTTTATTTAGTCTCCTCTATTCGGAATTTCAGATCGAGTCTCTATTTAGATTTACATATGGTCTCAAAGGCAATGTGGGCCCAGTAAACCAATCAGGCAAACAGAAATTGGAAAGCCCTAAATTTGTCCCTTTAACTTTCCAAAACCCCATGAAACCTGTACATATTGGGTACTGTTGTACTTTGCTGAACACAAATATGAGTGTTTTAGAGCACTATCACTTGTGATGATGATATCAGTAAAAGCGCAGTTTTTGGGTGAAAAATTAAAACATTTTTTATGAAAACTAACTTTGGCTAGGGTTTGTGACTAAGTGGCTACTACAAAAGACCAGACTTACCCAATGCTGAATACCCTAGGTTGTCTACTTTTATGAATAGTATGCCATGATGGGGGTAATTCTCATTCCTCGCTGCCATACAGTCTCAAAGGGAGCATGAGCCCAGTAAACCAATCAGGCAAACAGAAATTGGAAAGCCCTAAAGTTTTCCCTGTTACTTTCCAAAACCCTATGAAACCTGTACATTTGGGGTACTGTTGTACTCGTAAGACTTCATTGAACACAAATATGAGTGTTTTAGAACACTAAATCTTGTAATGATGATGATATCATCAGTAACAGCACAGTTTTTTTTTTCTTACCCCATTCTGAATACTCTGGATTGTCTAGATTTGTGAATGGTATGCCATGATGGGGGTAATTCTCATTCCTGGGCTGCCATACAGCCTGAAAGGCAGCATAGGCCACCTAATCAATCTAACAAACAGAAATGGGAAAACCCTATATTTGTCCCTGTAACTTTCCAAAATCCCATAAAACCTTCACAGGTGGGTATTGTTTTACTCGTGAGACATCGTTGAACTCAAATATGAGTGTTTTAAAGCAGTAAAACTTATAATGATATTGATATCATTAGTGAAAATATTTTTTTTTTACAAAAAAATGGAAAAATGAATATGATCGCTAATTGTGGTCAGGGTTTGTGACTAAGTGGCTACTAAAAAAGAATGGACATACCCCATTTTGAATACCTTGGGTTATCTACTTTTGCAAATGGTATGCCACGATGGGGGTATTTCTCATTCATTAGCTGCCAAACAGTCTCAAATGCACCATAACCAATGTGTCAAATTTCAATGTGTAAAAATGAAATGGGCAAGCCCTGTATTTGACCCTGTAACTTTCCAAAACCCTATAAAACCTGTACATGCATGGTATTGTTTTACTCATGAGACATCTTTAAACACAACGATGGGAGGGAGGAGGAGGCCGTTTTTTTACAGTTTTTGTATGAAAAATGCAAAAAAAATTAATGCTAACTTTGGCCACGGTTTGTGACTAAGTGGCTACTAAAAAATACTAGACATACCCAGGGGCGGACTGAGAGCCTTTGGCACCCCCGGGCAAAATTAGATCCCAGGCCCTTTGAAGGCCAAATATATGTGCATTAAATAAATGTTAAATATAACTCATAATACAGCATTCCTTTGGATGTGTATATTGTGAAGACCTGTGTATCAATGCATGTTTGTATTTGAGTCTGTGTGAATGCAGTTGTGCATGTCTGGATGACTACATGTGCTTTTTTGGATATAGTGTCTGTGTGAATGCATATGTGACAGGTGACAGAGTGTGTGAAGGAGAAGGTGACAGGTGGAAGAGTGTGGGAGGTTGTGACAGGTGGCACAGTGAGGGGGTACCTGGTGGCAGAGTGAGGGAGGGAGGGGTTGAGTGGTGGCAGAGTGAGGGGGAGACACAGTGAGTGGGGGTGACTGGTAACAGAGTGAGGGAGTGGGTGACTGGTGACAGTGTGAGGGAGTGGGTGACTGGTGACAGTGAGGGAGTGGGTGACTGGTGACAGAGTGAGGGAGTGGGTGACTAGTGACAGAGGGAGGGAGAGGGGGTGACTAGTGGCAGAGTGAGGGAGGGAAGAGATGACTAGTGGCAAAGTGAGGGAGGGAAGAGGTGACTGGTGACAGTGAGGGAGTGACTGGTGACAGAGGGAGGGAGTGACTGGTGACAGAGGGAGGGAGTGACTAGTGAGGGAGGGGATGACTCACTAGTCACCCCATCCCTCTCTCTGTCACTAGTCACTCCCTCCCTAACTCTGTCACTGTGTCACCCGCTCCCTCACTCTGTCACTAGTCACCCCTTCCCTCCCTCACTCTGTCCCTACTCACCCCCTCCCTCTCTGTGTCACTAGTCACACCCTCCCTCACTCTGTCACTAATCACACCCTCCCTCACTCTGTCACTATTCACACCCTCTCTCTCTCTGTGTCACTAGTCACACCCTCCCTGACTCTGTCACTAGAGTGAGGGGGTGATTAGTGACAGAGTGAGGAAGGGGGTGACACAATGACAGAGTGAGGGAGGGGGTGACTAGTGACAGAGTGAAGGAGGTGGTGACTGTCACTAGTCACCCCATTCCTCCCTCTGTCACTAATCACAACCTTCCTCACTCTGTCACTTGTCACCTCCTCCCTCTCTCTGTCACTAGTCACACCCTCCCTCACTCTGTCACTAGTCACCCTCTCCCTCTCTCTGTCACTAGTCACACCGTCCCTCACTCTGTCACTAGAGTGAGGGGGTGACTAGTGACAGAGTGAGGGAGGTGGTGACTAGTGACAGAGTGAGGGAGGTGGTGACTAGTGACAGAGTGAGGGAGGTGGTGACTGTCACTAGTCACTCCCTCCCTCTCTGTGTCACTAGTCACACCCTCCCTCACTCTGTCACTAGTCACCCCCTCACTCTAGTGACAGAGTGAGGGGGTGACAGGTGGCAGAGTGAGGGAAGGAAGGGGTGACTAGTGGCAGAGTGAGGGAAGGAAGGGGTGACTAGTGGCAGAGTGAGGAAGGGGGTGACACAGTGACAGAGTGAAGGAGGTGGTGACTGTTACTAGTCACCCCATCCCTCCCTCTGTCACTAATCACCACCTCCCTCACTCTGTCACTAGTCACCCCATCCCTCCCTCTGTCACTAGTCACCACCTCCCTCACTCTGTCACTAGTCACCCCTTCCCTCCCTCTCTCTGTCACTAGTCACCCCCTCTCTCACTCTGTCACTAGAGTGAGGGGGTGACTAGTGACAGAGTGAGGGGGTGGCAGAGTGAGGGAAGGGGTGACTAGTGGCAGAGTGGGGGAAGGAAGGGGTTACTAGTGACAGAGTGAGGGGATGATTGGTGACAGAGTGAGGGAGGTGGTGACTGTCACTAGTCACCACCTCCCTCACTCTGTCCCTAGTCACCACCTCCCTCACTCTGTCCCTAGTCACCCCTCCCTCTGTCACTAGTCACCACTTTCCTCCCTAACTCTGTCACTAGTCACCACTTCCCTCCCTCACTCTGTCACTAGAGTGAGGGGGTGACTAGTGACAGAGTGAGGGAAGGGGTGACTAGTGGCAGGGTGAGGGAAGGAAGGGGTGACTAGTTACAAAGTGAGGGAGGTGGTGACTGTCACTAGTCACCACCTCCCTCTGTCACTACTCCCTCCTTCTGTCACTAGTCACCCCCTCCGTTCCTTACTCTGTCACTAGTCACCCCCTAACTCACTCTGTCACTAGTCATCCCCCTCGCTCACTCTGTCACCAGTCATCTGCTTACTCTGTCACCAGTCACCCCTTCCTTCCCTCACTCTGCCACTAGCCACCCCTTCCCTCACTCTGTCACCATTCATTCCCTCACTCTAGTGACAGAGTGAGGGAGGGTGTGACTAGTGACAGAGTGAAGGAGAGGGTGACTAGTGACAGAGTGAGGGAGTGATTAGTGACAGAGTGAGGGAGGGAATGGGTGACTAGTGACAGAGTGAGGGAGGGGTGACTAGTGAGGGAGGGTGTGACTAGTGACAGAGTGAGGGAGAGGTGACTAGTGAGGGAGGGTGTGACTAGTGACAGAATGAGGGAGATGGTGACTAGTGACAGAGGGAGGGAGATGGTGACTAGTGACAGAGTGAGGGAGGTGGTGACTGTCACCCCATCCCTCCCTCTGTCACTAGTCACTCCCTCCCTAACTCTGTCACTAGTCATCCCCTCACTTTGTCACTAGTCACCCCCTCCCTCCCTCTGTCACTAGTCATACCCTCCCTCACTCTGTCACCAGTCATACCCTCCCTCACTCTGTCACTAGTCACCTTCTCCCTCACTCTGTCACTAGAGTGAGTGGGTGACTAGTGACAGAGTGAGGGAGGGGATGACCAGTGACAGAGGGAGGGGGTGACTAGTGACAGAGTGACAGAGGGAGGGGGTGACTAGTGACAGAGTGAGGGAGGGAAGGGGTGACTAGTGACAGAGTGAGGGAGGGGGTGACTAGTGACACAGTGAGGGGGGTGACTAGTGACACAGTGGGGGGTGTGACTAGTGACACAGTTAGAGGGGTGACTAGTGACACAGTTAGAGGGGTGACTAGTGACACAGTGAGGGGGGTGACTAGTGACACAGTGAGGGGGTGAGTAGTGACACAGTGGGGGTGAGTAATGACACAGTGAGGGGGGGTGAGTGACACAGTGAGGGGGTGAGTAATGACACAGTGAGGGGTGAGTAGTGACACAGTGAGGGGGTGACTAGTGACACAGTGAGGGGGGGTGAGTAGTGACACAGTGAGGGGGTGAGTAATGACACAGTGAGGGGGTGATTACTGACGGGGGGTGATTAGTGACAATGAGGAGAGGTTAGTGACAGTGAGGGGGGGTGATTAGTGCCTACCTGTCTCTCTGCTTCCTCTTCTGTCCCTGGCTGCTGCTCCTTCCCCTGCTGGCTGATCGGCTCTGTGTGTGAGAGAGGTGTAAACAGGAAGTAATGTCACTTCCTGGCCCCGCCTCTCCCATCACACAGAGCACTGCGGGACAGGAAGAAGGAGACCTGGCAGAGAGGCGGTGAAGCTGCCAGGTCTCATGGGGGGGGAGTGATTTACAGAGCGGTAGGTTGTGGGGCCCAGCGCTGCATCAGGGGCCCCACAACCTAGCAATTAAATTAAATAGTTTTATTTTTGTTCCAGTTGGAGAGATCTCTGATCTCTCCAGCTGGAGCATGGCTGTGCTGCCGGGCCCCTGACTGCCTTGGGCCCTTGGTCCATGACCGAAGTGCCCAAGTGGTCAGTCCGCCCCTGGACATACCCCATTTTGAATATCCTGGGTTGTCTAATTTTGCAAATGGTATGCCATGATGGGGTTAATTTTCATTTCTGGGCTGCCATACGGTCTCAAAGGTAGCATAGGCCCAGCAAACCAATCAGGCAAATTTCTATGTGTAAAAATTAAAAAGGGAAAAGCCCTATATTTGACCCTAAAACTTTCCAATACCCCATAAAACCTGTACATAGAGGTGTACTGTTGTACTCATAAGACATCGCTGAATACAAATATGTGTATTTTATTGCAGCAAAAACTAACAATATTATGACATTCTCAGTTAAAATGCCATGCAGAACTTGAAAAATAACAATGTCTTCATTTCTCAAAGTTCTTAAAATTTTGTTCATAATAAATTATTTAAAAATTCTTTTTGCCCAGTTTCTCCTGAACAAAATTCTATATAATAAGTGTGGGTGCATTTAATATGAAAGAGATAAATTATAATTGAACAAACATACAGCGCAAATTCCAGGTTTTGTTTACGTTTTGTTTTGATCAGAATGTGTATAATTGACTCCGTCCTGAAGGGGTTAAGGTGTGATGTTTAGAAAGACTCACTGTCTGTCTCATAGTTTTCTCAGGTTGGAAGTGGCATTATGCCCCTTCCCTTTTTCTTGCTGCAGTGCATGCTGGGAGGAGGATGTACTGATCATTAGTAAGCAGCAGCAATCTTGTCTGTTAGCTGAATTCAGCCAACCTGGGAAGACACGGAGATACTGGTTATGTTAGGAAACTGTATAGTGTATATAGTAAGAAAGCCTTGTGTTGACTCATGCTCTATACAGTAAGTAAAACACTGCCTCTGGAGTGAGACCTCATGCCCATGGCCGTCTTTATTGAGGGGCAAACAGGGCAGCTGCCCCAAGCCCAGTTACTCCTGGGGGGCCCAAAGCAGCTGCCCCTTGGGCCCCTCTGTCCGTATCTACCTCATGGGCCCGCCGGTGCTGCACAGGGGCCCACACACTAAGGGGGGCCATTGGCTGGCCCATGCATTCAGGGCCACCAAGTGGGAATTTCTGAGCAGGGGCCCAGTCGGGCGCTGTGGCCCTTTAACAACGGCAGATGGCTGGGAGGAAGTGATTGCCGTGAGTCACTTCCTCCCAGAGAGAGTGAAGCCACGGAGGGAGGAGGAGGACGTCAGGAGGGGGCTAGAGTGCCGAGCAACTCACTCCCAACTACCTCAGCCTGCCACTCCCAACTACCTCAGCCTGCCAGGGAAGCCACATTCCTGAACCCATAAGGTAGGAAACGGAAGGATGGCTTTAAAAATGCAAAGTTTGCATGTGTCAGTGTGTGTGTGTGTGTGTGTGTGTGTGTGTTTGAGTATACCTGTGTGTGTGTATAACAGTATGTGCGGCAGTGTATGTGTACATGTGCATACATCTCCGCATTCAAAACACCAACACTACACACAAGTACATCCCTGCATTCAAACTTCAACACTGCACAGTTCTGCATTGAAACGTCAACACTACATTCAAGCACACCTCTGTGTTAAACACCAAAAATATATAAACACACCCCTGCATTCAAAAACAAACACTACACATAAATGCATGCTTATATTCAAATGCGAACACCACATACAAACTCACCCGAACATTTACACAAACATACTCCATACAAAAACATGCTTACATTCAAACACAAAAACCAGCTTGAGTTCTGAGCGGGGACCCACCAAAGGGCAGGCTATTTCAGTTGCTGTCCGTTCTCAGAATACTCTTGCTACCTGTTTTTTGCTCTACACAAACACTGCTCAGTACCAAATACAACCCTGCAAGCATGGGAAAATGTTAGAGCCCAAGTTGTCAAAGCACTATTGGAGTTGCAAGACAGATGGGCATCTATCGTTTGGCCACCACTGCAATTGGGGGGCCAAAAAAATTCTTGCACCAGGGTCCTCTCTACTTTAGTTCCACTACTGCGTTGGGGAGTATCAAATGCTTGCCCATGGCCCAATCAATATTAAAACGGGCTCTGCTCATGTCTATGCATATAATATATTGAGTAGACACTCTCAGCATTACATTCACCAATTAAGCATCAGCCTACACATAGGGGAAAAAACAATTGTACTAGAAAAATGCTCGCCCACCACTGAGAGCTAAAGTTTCTAATAAGAAATGAATGGTAATCTAGTACATGAAAAACACAAATTGCTTAGTAAAGCCCTGCATTGCTGGTGTAAAAAGTCACCTAAGAAAATAAGCTGGTCCGCTTTATGAAACTTTATATCACAGTCACACACAGTATATCCTAAGATATTTCTCTATTTCAAATTCACAACATCTATCAAACTGATAAAACTTCAAACACACATTTCTCCAACTGTTTGTTAGATAATCAGGTGATGATATCTCGGGACATAGTATGTGACTGTGATTTAAAGTTTAGTAAAGAGGACCAGCTTCTTTTCATGTAAGCCAGCAATGCAGCGTTTCACCAAACAATTTGTTTAGTTCACATACTACATCTGTTAGAAAAGCTTTGCAAATTATTTATCTACAGAAATTTCCATTAACAAATATGGCAATTGTTGTGGATAAATCATTTGGAACGTTTTTCTAACAGGCTGTGATCATTTGAAACATTCATCCAAATATCAGTTCTTATTAGAAACTTTAGATACAAATTTTAAATTTACATTCTGAGACCTTTGTATCTCATTTTGCTGTGTAAATACTTTTTGGTTTTGGTAAGTTTTATTTTTGATGCTAAGGAATATGTTTAAAGTACATAAAAACAAAACATAGATTATATGTCTATATCAGTCCTCTGCAAGGTCTCCAATTATTTTGGTTTCACAAGTTGGATTACAAAGCAATGAATTTAATTGAGGGAGATTTGCTGCCATAGACACTAGATCCCAGAGTCGTTTGTATGTATGTCACACACCAGTTCTCTAGCTATAACTCGGGCCCAATTCTCATACGTTATACATCTACGCTGTAATCTAACTGAAGTCTGCTAGTCCAGCTAGGAGTTGCCTGGAAGTCCCTTTGAATCCTCCCCTGTCCCTATCCCGGTTCTATAATATATATTTTTTCTCTTGATCTCTGCCCAATGTGCCAGTGGGGGGGTCCTACCCTGCGAGCATTCATTACTTTATAGCTGCACTTTCATGATTAGGTTTTTTTCTGGAAAGTGAAAAGTATAAGATGTCATATCCTCACTTTTATGTAGGAATATTGCGGAGAACATGTGTTGTTTCCTTTTGCCATATAACTTATTCTTAGACATGATTGGGCTTTCAAAGTCTGGAAGATTTGCAACTATTTTGTCAATTGTGCCTAATATTATGTACCAATAATATGAATTGTTCTGGAAAAGAAAAGAAAAGAAAAGAAAAGGAAGGAAGGATAGATGAATTGTTCTGGGAAAGAAAAGGAAAGAAAGAAAAATGGAATCTAGCAGTTACATCTCAAATATGTTGTAAATATTTTTTATTCTCTATTGAGACAGGCTGAATCTGAATAGGTAACTCATAAACTGAAAGCACCTGTTACATTATGAGCTGCTTCGTTGGAAGACCATCTACTGAGTGTCACTCTATTTACAGAATGTATCATGTTCTAGCTGGTCCAGTTAATGTGATTCTAAATGTATTGTCTGGATATCCTGCATTTCAGCCAATATGGATTACATTCGCTCTAGCTATACAATCTTGTCACAAACCCTGCTTCTAGTTTATTACACATTCTTCTCACTGATAAACTGCAAGAGAAACTCGCAATACAGTGTAAACCCTAACACTGGCATTTTCTATGCTGATTTCTATATTGTAAAGCACACAGGATGATTTTTTTACCAAACTCAGTGTCATTAATGTATAAACAACAAGTGACAGTCACAGTCTCTGTTCTTTCTGAAACTTGCTCAACACATGAGCTCTTACCCTCCCATTACTGTTCTTTCACCTTCACTCCTCCCCTCTATTTCAGCCCTCTTTCACACATTCACTTTGCTGAGAGCATCAGGGATCGGTGATAAAAGGAGCAGAGAAAAAAAATC